ATTACATCTGATTTCAAAACCAATGCACTTGTGTCGAAGTTAATAAAGCAACTGAATTTCATTTAACATTTTAAAAATGCATACGAAATACGAGGGTTTTTCTGAAACAAAAACTTCGAAATGTTTAAAGTAGTTCCCTCCAACATTAATGCACTTCCAAAAAGTTAATGCTTCAAATCCATTTCTTGGAATCAAGGAAAAATATGCTGATAAATTTAACCTCTAGAATGAAAATGGCGGCCAGGTCAATTTTTTTTAGATTAACAAATAGCCTAAAGTCACACATAACAAGACCTGTCAGTGTTAGACAGTGTTAGAGAATGAGGAAATGCATTATCATGGTGAAGTAAAGATTCTCTAAGAACGCTTTGTAATGAACCAGTTAGCTGTAACTGACTTCTGTTCCTTATGTATTTTTTGTGGCTTTGACCAGTTCTGTACTTCTGAAGAAAATGGCATATATTACTTTTTTCATTGTTAGCTGCTTTTCCAGCATTGCTGATTTGGGATCATCTTCAAAGATCATACTGACTTACTGACATACATTTCTTTTCTGATTCTAATATGCATCACATTTTAGAATTCTGTTAATATGTGGGGGGCCCAACGAAAGGCAAATTTTTTCATATGCACATTTTTTCATGTCGGTCACATATATCTTTCACATTACGATGTATATCTCTCATATTATATTGAAACACATTTACCTTCCATATGTATATATGAATCATGTTCTTTACGAATAATTTTATGCACAGGGTGCGGCAGTAAATCGACAGAGCTCGTTTTGGTTTGGCTGGAGTGTGGAGAACGATTCTACTGCCAACATGCAAATAACTTTAAAGCATTTTTAGTAATAATGGAGCAGTAGACAGGAGCGCAACGTGTTCACGCTTTAAAGGCATTGTATTAAAACTGCAACAGTTACCAGAACGCTCAGCCTGAATTTCGTACAGAGCTCAAGATTCATCGTAATAATGCTGTTCCATCAGCTCATGCCATCAAGAACTGGGTATGAAACTTTGAGGGCACTGGTTCCACAATAAATGAGAGAGGTGGTAGTGAAACCGCAGTGCGTAGACTCGAAAATATACAGGTAGTGACTGAGGCCGTTAAACGGAATTCACGCCGTTCTGCGCGTCGTCATTCTCTGAGAATTCCCTGAGACATTCTCTGGGTTTTCAGATCGCAGCGTTCGACGGATCTTACATAAAGATCTTCATTTCCACGACTACAAGATTCAATCTGTTCAAGCACTACTGAAGCAGGACTATCGAAACAGACCTCAGTTTCGCCAGACACTTTTGCAGTTGATTAATGGAAACGAGAATCTTGTTAACAATTTACTAATGAGTGACGAAGTCCATTTTTAATTGTCAGGATATGTTAATAAGCAAAATTTCCGTTACTGTCTGACATAAATCCGTAAGAAACCCAAGAGAAACTACTCCATAGCTTGAAAGCTACTGTGTGGTGTGAGATATCTTATTTTTCAATTATTAGTCCGTATTTCTTTGAAGATGGAAGGGAAAAAGCTGTAACTGTGACAGGGAAACGCTATGTTCACAGGTAGGACAACTTCTTTACTCCCGCAATTGCTGATCTTCCTGTAAACACGTTCTTCCAACAATATGAGGCTACTAGCCACTCCACGCAACTGTGAGGAACTTGTTTCCCAATTACATTATCTTCAGACATGGAGTTATCAAATGGCTGGCCAAATCTCTTTCAGCCTGTTATGTTTTTCTGTGCAGCTGCTTGAAATCACAAGTTCTCCAGCAGGAGCTAAACTGCCGAATTAAGGAAGAAATTCAAAGAATCCAAGTGGAGATGCTGCAATAGGTAATGAGCGATCGGTGCGTAAGGATGGTAGGCATCTGAAAGATATTATTTTTTGAAAAATAAAGATTTTATTGTATTATTTTTTAGTTTGAAAACTAAATGCTTTAATGTTTACTGTGTATTCTTGCGTATTTTAAGTAAATAGAACTATTCATTCATTCCTGATAACACTTTTAAAATCGCCAGATTCACTGCCGCGCCCAGGATAGTTGCTGACCCAATGATTAGTTCTTTCTGTATCATTTGGTAGGCACAGCAGTTGTCATTGATTAATAGTTTTCATAAAGCTGTACATTTTTGGGACTATAACTAGCGAAGTATTTCGTGTGTGTTCTCCATCCAGGAAAGAATTTCGACCTTTACGAAGAGCTTTATTTCTGTAAACTAATTGTAGACGTCGAAAGCATTCTGCTGATTTATTACTGTTTTAAAATCAAAGCAAATCATAGCACAATAACGCTCCCACGGCAGTTCCTTTTTTCTTTCTTTCTAGGAGTAAATTCTACTTCTGCGATAGATGACTCCTCCTTGAAGAAGTCACCCTCCGGATTTTAATGAAAGTTATAAATTCATAAGAACCAGGATTCACGAACAAGAGATAACATATCATTCAGTTAGTGTGAGCAGTCGTTTTGCGTTTAGTAAAGTGTGTAAAGTTTTTATGTATTAAAAACTTTACACACTTTGACTAAATAGCGAAAATTTCCAGAAAATTTCAAAAGGCAGCTTCTACTTTCAAGTACAAAGGAGAGGATGTTTATAATGTATAATTAATTATGTCAGTTACGCTTTTCTTTCTCATTTCATAAAGAAAAATTTCAAAACTGCGCTGCAAAATTTTCATTAACGTTAAAATTATTAAAAGAAAGTCGGGTTCTTTAGCGACAGGGAGAAACTGTAATAAACTGGGGTTTTGTTCCCGAAGGCGAAATGTTTCTTTGGCTTCGGATAACATTTAAGGTCGGTCACGCTAAAATTTCATTAATTTGCATTTTCTTGCAGTCTTTTAATAAAATCAACAGCTATTGTTCAAACCACAAGGGAATGTGTGGGGTTGCCAGGCGCCCTATTTTCCAAGCGCTGCACTCAAAGTTATTAATTCCTTTTTTAAAACTACAGTCGAATAAAAAACCCCGAATATAACGAACAAACTTTTTTGCCCTGTCTATTGTCCTATACATTAAATGTCATTTGTTACTCTTATAGCGAGAATCCAAGAGCAGGAAAATCGGATATAAAGAAATGCATGCATAATCTTCGATTTGTATATTTCATATTTTCCCCGCATTTTTGAAAGTTTTAACAAAAAAAAAAAAAAAAAAAAAAAAAATGCTAACCGTTAAAATCATCCACGTTTAGGATCTTAGGATCTCAGATTTCATACATATTCTTCATTCTGGAAGCGTTATGCTGAATTGTTGTGTATCTGTATGTTTATTATTATTATTATTTATATTTTTATTTCACAACCACTTTTACATGTGTTCTAAACAAAAGTTATACGAGAAAGGTATGCCATGCAATTATAGGAAAACAAGGATACACAGGATACAATAAGTATATCTTAAGACACCATATAGTGTACATGAATATTAAACCAAAAAACGTGAAAGGGTTCTCTTATTCCATTCAAGTTTTTTGAACTGCCAGACAGAGCTGTATTCAAGGTTAATGATATGATGGAAAATTTTGGGAATTTTCGCTATTCGCGTAAAGAGGAAGGAGAAAACCTTATGTGATTGTGGTTTTTCAGTTGATTCTTTCTTTAGAGAAGAAAATGTTTTAATCCTTATAGGTTTATTTTGTTTCAATATAAATGTTCTGCACCTTCTAGCCTTCAAATTGGTGTTTGGCATTATTTGTGTCTTCTGAAAAACATGATAGTCTTTATTTCAAATCTTTATTTTGCAACTATACATATCTTGAGAGAAATAATTGTGTTCTCAATAGACATTGGATTGACGAAATTATATCCCTTCTTCATAGTTCCCAGAAGATCAATTTTCTCAACGCCAAAGTCAACGCCAAAGAATCACATATTCTTTGACGCACAGTTCACTCATTTTTTGAGAGAGAAACAGCCTGCACAGAGACTTATGCACTCTGTTTCTGTTTGTCCATCCACATAGCAGCTGTAAACGTTAAGCTTTTGCACCGAAGATAAGGTTCAGGCTATTCGAAAAATACAAAATAGACGCAGATAAATCGATAACTGCCATAAATGCAATTTATCCTGCAGCCGGTACTTTAGGAAAGATCAAAATTCTATAATGTCTGCATGTAGAAAGAATCTGCATACGAGAAAAATTTGAGAAAGATAGAGCATAGAGATGTTGAAGAAGCACTGCAGAAGTGGTTTTCCACTCAAAGGAGCCGAAACTTCCAATATCTGGACAAATGGCTTCAGATAACAGCAAGTGAATGAAAAATAAATTTAACGTCTGCGCATAGTAATAATTGCAATTAAATCTTAATATTTTAATTAGATTTATTATTCACTTCTTTCAATAGACTATAGAATGCTAATCGGTTTTTTTTTTTTATTCATCATTCGATTTTTGCATGCTTTTGTAAGATAATCCATTTTGCGTATCATATCGGATATATCGAATTACCGGCTATAGCAAACTGAATTTCCGTTCTCTTGAAGTTCGCTGTTGCGAGATTCGACTGTCAAAAATACGATCCTGACTGTACGTTCCAAGTTGTTTGCGAAGTATGTTTAAGGACCTCCCTTCCCTCGAGCAAGATTTCAAACTAATCTATGAAAAGATATACTTTGCAATGTTTCCATAACAGAATAGCAGTATTTGTAGAGTAATTGGGTTTAGTTTTGACAAAGAAACAAGAAAATCTTCAGTGCTGTCGCCGGGATTTGAATTCCAGCTCTCCAAATCGATAACAGGGTGTGATTCCAATTACAATTATCTATCTTGAAGGCACGTAGTAAGGGGAGAAAAAATTTAGTCTTACATATTAAAGCAATGCCTTGGTGCAAATTGGAGCCGTTTTTGCAGATGAAAAGGTAAAAATTACTTATTGGATGCAAGTTGGCATTTTCTAGACTTTTCTTTTAAATTTTCTCAACTAATTTGTATGTCATAATTATATTTTGTATGTCATAATTATGTTATCTTTTCAATTCTTTCTTTTGACAGCTTGCCCAAGAAACCAACATTATGAAACTTGCGGAAGTGCATGTCCCGTAACTTGTAAGAATTATAAAAATCCTCCTAAAGTATGTGTTCTTATGTGTGTTTCCGGGTGTTTCTGTGATAAAGGATACGTCAAAACAGATGATGACCAATGCGTGAAACCCAATGAATGCCCAGGTAAAAAACATTGAAAAATTATTCTTATTTTCTTTTATTTGTATGAATATGTGTGTACGAAAGGGATATGGTAATGATCGTGAGAACGATGAAATCATTGCACGTAAAAACCATCTTGATCCCTATTATGAAACAAATGCAATTGTATTACAAAATTATGGTTGAAATAGCTTTAAGAAGAATACCTAAATTTCGATGTTTGATTCCAAATAGTATTCTGTACGTTTCTTCAAAAATAAATATGAAGCTTAAAAATGACATTTTAAGACAGAAGTACTTAATTAAGCCTCTTTAATAGTCTCAAACACATTTCATCAACGCCAACTGTATTAAAGCTTGTAGTAACCATTATAAATAAACATTTTGCATAACACTAAAAAAGATAGTGCTTAGCAATATTAACAGAGCCGAAACAATGTCAAAATAGTATTGATATCTTTAAAGCTCATCTCGAAAGTATATTAAGTAATAATTTTATGTATACTAAATCTATGAAATATAGCACTAAACATACTATTAAAATGGTACTATATTTTTAATATTAAAAGTACTACTGTACTTTTAGTATTAAAAGTACTAAAACGACTGCTTATTGTAGTTCTGAAAATGGAGACACTCCTCACATTGTTTTCGAATATTAATTTCGCACAAACTTCAAGTCCTTTTAGCTAATAATACAAGGTATTGGTAAACAAATAAGCACAAGATATTGGTAAAAAAATACATATATATGCCGTACAACCGGGATAGTGGTTAGCAACGCTGACTGCGGTATTAAAGGGTCTGGGTTCGAATCCTGGAGAAGGCAGGGATGTTTGTAAATGTATAGTATATGTGAGGTATGGGGGCACTCAAAATATGCGGCGAGCCGAAAGTCCCCTCGAGGGTTTGAGTGATAGGGCAAAGAATATGTATTGTTAAGAAGGAAAACTTCGCAGCAGCAGGAGTGGCTCCCTTCGAACGAAAAGGGAAACAGCTGCGCATGCGTAAAATATCTGTCGCCAAAAAGCGCCAAAGCTCGAAGCTGGTGTCGAAGTTCGAACAAGTTCGACGGTCATGTTTATCAAGAGTTTAAAGCTGTGTGACTCCATTTTTTTCCCTCCATATTGACGGATATAAAATCAGACATCAAACTACGATATGGATAATGGAAGTTCAACAGCCAGTGAAAGTGAAACTTCACCTAATTTTTTTATTCATCTTAATCCGTGTTCCTCAATTTCCTGTACACTTGACGGAGGAGAAAAATCTCGGCCAAGTCCAGTGCATCACAAAGGGGGAAATTCTCGCCAACAGGTTCCGTTGCCAAATCCCTTGGCGAATTTCGCTCTTCTTTTTAGCGGCGTAGCAGACAACTGGTTTACATTGCGTCTATGGCCCAAGAGCGATGCGTAGTGCCGGGAGTAAATTATGCCGCGTGCGCATGACGTCATGTGAGTGACAGTCGTTAGTTCTTAGCGTTTGTTTACATTCGTTGCATCAACAGTTTCATTTGATTTGTGTTGTTGATTTGCTATTATACCTGGTCAGAAATTGAAACTTGTGCTGTATCGTTATGTCAGAATTTAGAAGGAAAACTAGAAGTCAGGGTATCACATACCATCGTTTTCCAAGTGAATCTAGAACTTCGTAAGTTTATGGATTGTTCGCGGCAAAAAAGCAGATAATTCCAACATCGAAAATACAAGAATATGTGCTCTTCATTTTACACCTGATAACTACGTACGAGATCTAAATGCAAAATTGCTTGATTCAACTTCTAAAAGGGTGCTGGAAGCCAATGCTGTTCCCACTTTACATCTCACATCATCATCGTGTGAAAATAACGCACCAATACATTATATATGTAGTATTTAAGAAAACAGAAATATTTCTAACACGAATGATTCATCCAAAAAAAAGCTAAAAAGAGATGGCGCAAGCAGGTGTCAGGCTCGCGAAACAAGGAAACGAGCATTGGAAAATTTAGCTTCCCTTTCCCCAAAAAAGAAAAGGCTATAAGCTGATAAGATAGGCTGTGCAACTCAGTTTACACCCAGTGACACATTTGAGTTAGTCATTACAACCAGATAAAATATCTGCTTATTTTTTTAATGAATTTATGTAGTTTTCATACATAACTGTGATCGAATGGATACATCATATATGTAATTGTACATTTATAGGTCATTTTACTAATATTTTACATTTAAATTTTTTCTCTCATCTTAAATCACTTTTTATCATAATCTTCATTTTGTGAATGAGACTTATATCACAATGAGATATTTAAACTCAGTATCATGTTTACAAATATTGACTACCTAAATGATTAGCTAATTATTAAATTCGCTTATACAACTTCAATTACATGCCTATGTGTTTTGGTTACTTTCTTTAAATCCCAAAAGTAATTCTATATATGGAAGCAGTGTTTGGGTTAAGCATTGCGTACAAAGTAAACTGATATATGCTTCACCCTGAAGAAAGAACAGTTTCTCGACCACACTACCATGCAAATATCGAATCAGTGAGTGACATATTCCCATCAGTGTTATTTAACTGAATCATATGTCTGATGTAATTTAATTAACATAACTAAGTGAATTTCCCCATGCTTGACCCTGAAGGAAAACAAATATGTGTATTGTGTTGGAATACAAATAGCGAAAGAGTAAGATATTCTCTTCAGTGTTATTTAACTGCTGCATATGTTTTTAATTTTAATTCCATATAATTTGTTTTTAATTATAACAGAAAGAAAAATATTTAAATAATGAGCACTATTTCGAGTATAACAAAAGCATTTTAAGAAACAAGGTGATATAAATACAGTAGTTATTAAAAACATTTAATTTGTACGCAGGCTTAATTGAAATTAAGAATTAGGGAAAGAATGCTTTTAGATAGTGCTGAAAATATATGTACTTCTGCTGACATCTGAAGTGAATCAATATAAGTCACTTTTCACCTTAAAAAGAATGTGATAAGTCTATTTAAAAAGTATACTGACGTGGTAAAGAAATTTGTAGAATTTTATAGTAATTAAGTATGAATTTGGTGATTCAAATCATTTTATATATTTTTTTACTTGAGATATGTAATTTAAACTGAAAATCACGTTCATATATTACTCACAGAGTATCAAAATTCATTTGTATTAAAAAAAGTGCATGAGCAATGAAAACATATGGGAAAATACTTTTTGATTATGTTATTACCGTGGTTTTGGCAGTTCTGCCTTCATGTATTCTATTCAACAAGATTTATTAAGTGCAGGCAATGCAACGTAAATACCGCGTTTTGCAATACTTAGTTTCATTAACTGAAATATCATTTTTCATATTCTAAAGCTTTCCTTTAAGAAAAGGATGTTTACAATTATATAAGCATTCGTACGAATTTTTAATATAAAATTAACATTTGCTTTGACAAAATATTTAATAGGAAAGTATATACCCCGTATTTCCAATATGTTATTATACATACTACATATAAAATGATCATTTTGCTTTAGTTTACATTTTTTCCATTACTGAAATCATGCAGCAGACGCGTCGACCGATGTAACTTGTCACTCGGGTGACGTCACTACCAGCAACCAATGGCATGCTTTTTCCGTTCCTGGCCTAACCTTTAGTATATTAAAGAACCTTGAGCCTTTCCTTCTTTACATAGACCTTCTTTGGGTAGGGAAAGAGGGGTGAAAGACCCTCAGACCCATCCCCCCGGAGCGCTGTTCATCAAAATTTGGGGGGGGGGACTGAGCAAAATTATACTGTCACTTGTACAATGCTCAAGGCTCTTGCCAACGACAGGCGCAATCTTGCACTCATTGCCCCGAATTTCGTGGGATTGTTTTGTCAAACAAATGAGATAAGTTACAACAACACACACAATACATATACTATTAAAAATGCTGAAAATCCTGTAATCTCAGTAAATATAAATTATGAAATATTCCACATCTTTATGTACTATAAGAACTGTCCGCGTTTATTTTATTTGTTTCTTCATTAGCTATCTCAGTTTCTTCATTAGTTTATTATTTGAAAACCAAATTCTGTCCCTCAAATGCTACGTAAAATCTATCTGGTGAGTTATCACTGATAGCTTAACTAATACTAATTCAGGAGTCAAACAACAAAAATCAGCGTTATATTCACAAAATTTTCACAGGACTAGTTTCGATGGTTTTTAGTCGACTAGTCCTGTGAAAATTTTGTGAATATAACGCTGATTTTTGTTGTTTGACTCCTGAATTAGTATTTATTCGGCGTGTTATTGTGTCTTAATTAGCTTAACTAATTTCTGAAGTTAAACAAATACCTTCTTAAGCTTATTCAGTTTCACCACTTGTGAGAAAGGAAGTAAAATATTACAAAACAAAATCATCAGTCGCCTGTCACTGCTTGTTGTCGTCAACAATGAATAATAGTCCCTTAAGAGACCATTAAGTTACAAATCCAAATACTTTTGAGCAAGGCTACAAACTTAGATCAGCAACTAGAAATGTAACTCAAAATCTTAACTTACCAATTAAATTACCTTGCGAGTTTCTAAATCCTTTTCGAGCAATAACTTTGCTAAGAGGAAAGAGAGATGGACATTAGCTTAATATTGATCTACGCCAAAGGTGGGCTGCTGCCCTTCTAATTGCTTAATACCAGCTCGTTATAAAATCCAGTGCAACGAAATTTTCATCACTTTCCTATACGAGTTTGTACGTGAACTACCGAAATCAGCAACACGAGTGTGTTACAGTGTATATCAGCAGGTATACGCGTGATTATACCAAAGATCAACCTAATCTGAGAACACTAGACATGCTAGAAAGCATGTGCATCCGACGAAGAATATAGTTCTATCATTTCTAGAAATTTTAATTTCAAAATTAAATTATATATATGATTATTGTTGATATTAAAAAAATCCATCAGAAAAGAGAACTTAGGGAAACAATATTTCACCTCTAAATTTTTGTTTGAAAATGAAATAGTACACATGTCAATTATTGGAAT